GCGTGGGCGACGCCGCTGCACCGATGGCCGCTGCGCCCTCGGAGGACGAGCCCCGCCTGGCGAAGAGCATTCCGGAGCCTCTGGGTCTCCTCTTCCTTTTTCCCAAAGGAAAGTGTTGATTCACGTCCCCGTCGTCCCCGTCTCCCCGTCGTCGCGTCTGTGATTTGTTGGTCCGGGACGTCCCTGAGAGCGTCCCCTCTGGGGAGAGCGCTGCTCCGTCCTCTGTCCCGTGACGTCGTGTCCCAGGTGTGATCAGCCTGAGGCCGCCTGTACATAATTAAACTATTTTCTGATGACGCTCGTCCCTGTCCTGAGCCTCCCCGGGCTCCGGGCAGCCTGGCTGGTCGGTCACGTGCAGGAGGAGGCGGCGGTGTGGGGGCTGACGGACGCCGTAGGCGCTGGGCAGCTGTGGTCGCTGCCCCTCCTGACACTGGTGCCTGAGTGGAGGGCCCTGAGTCTCCCTTCGGAGTGGGTGTGGGGGACTGTCGGGCGTCCAGGGAAAGGCCGGTGGGAGAAGCGCCAGCTGACGAATCCTGCGGGCGGCGAAGTGGCCACAGAGGCTTAGGGCAGCGCTCTGCAGGCCAGCAGGGTCAGGTGGCTGATGAGCCGCCTCCTGGCCACGGGGCCACGGGGCCACGGAGACCGCCTCCCGGCGCTTTGAGGAGGTGACCCTCCTCTCCTGGTGGTGAGGCAGGTGAGGTGGGGCCCCACAGCTCCTGCCAGCCGGCCCCATGCCCGCGTCCTTCATCCGGTCAGGTGCAGGCGGCCTCCACCCACTTCTGGGGGGGCCGGGGGGATTGCGTGTCCCTGACTGGCCTGCGGGAACCTGGCACTGGTTCCTCAGCTCTCACCCGGTTGAGCGCTCACCTGGGTGTCGGTGGTTGTAAACACCTGGCCTGAGGCTCAGGCCCACCTCCCGCCGCTGGAGATGAACTGGCTGAGACTCACATAGGCTGGGCCAGGTCCCGGGGGCCCTGGTGGAGGGAGCCTGCCTCTGAGGGTTCAGGGCCTCGCCTGGCCACGACCCCTGTCCAGGGGGCGGGATGGTGCGGGGGGAAGGAGAGGCCCCAGACCCTCGGACCCAGGGCGGAGCCTTGCTGGACAGTGCGGCCGTGTCAGCCGTGTGGCAGCCCTGCCATCGGCAGTAAGGACTCCGTTAGTTACGCACCCACCACTATTTTTAGCTTTTGCCTCAATAGGTGCCGAGCTCCCACATGAAGGTCTCGGGCCGGGCCTGCAGGAGCCGTCTCCCCTCAGGTCTCCGAGGCCCTTGCCAGCTGTCTGTGCCAACTGACTCCCAGGTGGTCCGGCCAGAGCGGCTCCTGCACTACAGGCCCCAGGACCAGGCTTGCCCACTCAGGGACGGGCTGGCCTGTGCACAGGGCCTGGCCCCCGCCCCAGCTCTAAGGGACGTTCTGCCCACACCATGGGACCGGGTGGCTCTCGCCCAGCCCCGCAGGGCCTTGCCCCAGAGACAGTTCTGGGCTGGAGGTGGGCTTGGGTAAGTGGCCTGGTGCAGACGGGCCTCCACGCTGCCTGCCCGGTTAGCACTCCAGACCCCTTGGCCTGGGCTGGCTGGTCCCACCCTGCAGTGGGGGCTAGTCTGGAGGCTCAGGTCTGTGGGCAGTGCTGGGAGCCCCCTGACCCCTACCTGGGACCACAGTGTGGGGCCTCCCTCCCTCTGTCACATCCAGAGAGCCCGCCTGGATGTCCGGTGGCTGGGGGCAGACCTGAGGGGCTTTGCTCTGAGCCCCCAGTGCCCGGGCCACTGCCAGGAGCCTCCTGCAGTCCAGCCTGGGCCTGCCCACGGCCGGCGGAGCCCCCGTGCCACAGGAACCCTCCCACACGGGCAGCTTTGGGGATGGGATGGGAGGGGCATCGGCCACCGGGAGGGAAATTCACAGTGGTGTTTGCTCCCACAGGCCCTAGTGCACCCCTCACCCTGTGGGTCACGCTCAGGCCAGGAGCCCTCCTGGGCGGAAGGAAACCCTGCTGCCCCTGGGGGAGGGGGTGTGGAGCCGCTCCTACAGCTGCCCTGAGCCAGGCCCCTCTGGAACGGGCGCAGTGGCCTGAGTCCCGCTCAGCTGTGCGAACACCTGGGGCCTCCACTGCCTGTGGTTGGTGTAACGCTCCCACTCCATCCCCCAGGGCCTGGCTGGGCTGCTGCCGAGCTGCTGTAGCTCCTGGTTTCCGGGCTGGTCCAGGGGCACTGAGCCATGCAGCCTGGGCCCCGATGCCCCCATTGGCCAGGCCCCGATGCCCCCATTGGCGAGGCCCCGATGCCCCCATTGGCCAGGCCCCGATGCCGCCCACCATAGAGGCCGTGATGTCCCCACAACAACGAGACCCGGTCTTTCACTCAAATGGTAGTGACCTCAGGGGCCTTACCACCATCTGCTTCCATATCAGGTAAGATATGGAGAAACAGCTCTCCTGCCATCCCCAGAGCCACTGAGGAACCCCCAGGACACACCTGGGAACCTTAACCCTAACCCTAACGCTAAACCCTAAACCTAAACCTAACCTTAACTCTACCCTAACCCTAACCCTAACCCTAACTCTAAGCCTAAACCCTAAACCCTAAACCTAAACCTAACCTTATCTCTACCCTAACTCTAACTCTAACCCTAACGCTAACCCTACCCTAAGCCCTAACCCTAACCCTAACCCACTAACCTAGCCCTAAACTTAACCCTAACCCTAAACCTAAACTTAACCCTAA